TGTTGTCCACTATTAACCAACGAAGAAAGTTCCATCTGTTCTTCTTGTCCATCAGCATATTCATCAAAATGCTCATAATTTACTAATGAGAGATTAGTTAATCGATCACCAAGCAATTCCAAAGGAAGTAAATACGCTTTACTGTTCAGAGCAAATCTTAACATTAATTCTTTAAGATTATTACATTTTTCAGCAAAAAATCTAATTAATTCAGCATCAATGCAAATTGATGATTCTTTATCATATTCATCCACTTGCAATCTTAATATGAAATCTCCATAAGGCATTAATGGATTATTTGATAGTGTATTACGAAGTGTGTTCAATGAACTGTCTTCTGTAAACCGCCTTATTTTCCAAATCTCGCTGAGACAAAGGTATGCGAAGTGACGACATGTGAATGAAAGCGGTTTTAATTCATTAACGGAATCGGCAGATTCTAGAATTGATTCTATAATCGATAAATGAATTTCTTTTGGGACTTGCATTAACAACATTGTAATATAGTGTCGCTTGAATGCCTGAACCTTTTTTAAAGATTTTTTTTTAAAAAAAAAAAAAAAAAAGGAAGGAAACAAATATATTTATCATTGTGATTATGGTGGAGTTTTAATTCCGAATTTACGCAGCTCAAACCAAATATAGTAATGAAAATATTACAGATCTGCATTTTGTTTGTTCGATCTTCGGTCATGAGGTATTTGAAAGGTCATGATCTTAGATTGTAAAACAAAATGAAATTATTTATTCAAAATAAAAATAAAATAAATATATACTTTGCTGCAGTTCTTTTCTTATACAATATATAATGATAACATATTAGATAAATATTATTAATAAGAAAATTATAAAAAAATAGTTATTATTTATTAAGAATTAATATTTAAGATAAATTTTTATAAGTTAATAAATAATTTTTTTAATACTAAATAATATTTTAAAAATATAAATGAGCTAGAAATTTATTTAATATATATTATAATTCTTACTTACTGAATATTAATTTTCTATTTTTTTTTTTTCTTAAATTATTATTTTAATTTTTAAAAACTTTAATTTAATTATTTTTTATTTTATTTTATTTTAATTAACTTTTTATTTTTTATTTATCTAAAATAAATTTATTTATTTATTTTATATTATTTTTAATCTTTTATTTTTATAATTTATAAAATTCAAGTTTTATAATATAAATAAATTTAAAATTAAATATTATAAGTATTATAATAATATATTTAAATTTAATATTAAAATAAAAATATAATATAAAATGTTTGCTAGAAAAGTCAGACTCTAAGAATAATTAATTAAAATTAAGACTTTATTATATTTTATTCTAATAATATCAAAATTAAAATGCAATAAAAATTAAAATTTGTTAAAATTTTCTAAAGCCTGATTTTCTAGTAACCTTCTTATAAATTAAAATAATTTAATTTAATAAATTTACTTAAATAATAATATCTATAAAGTTATTAATATAATAAATAATAAACTTTTTAATTTATTAGTTAACAATATCTATTAATATTGATTTTAATATATAATTTAAAATATAGAAATTTTTTGAAACTTTAAAAAATTTTTTAGTCTATATATTTAAATTTATTATATTAGAAATACCTATTAATATTTTAATAAAAAATATAGTATGAATAAATAAAATTAATTATATATATATTAATATTCAAATACTATTAAAAATAATTTAAATAAATATTTTGGTATAATAGAAATTTTAAAAAATATTTATAAAGAATTTTATAATAAATAATAAATTTTTATTATAAAATTATTAATATTTATATTATAAAAATAAATAATTAATTTAATAATTATAATATATAATATATATTATATACTTTATTTTCTATTATTATTAAAAATATAAAATACTTTATATAAAATTATAAAAAAATAATTTAAGTTCTAATAAAAAAATTTAAATAATATTAAAAAAATATAAAATTTAATAAAAATCTAAAATTATTTATAAAAGATTAAATTAAATATTTTATAAAAAATAAAAATATAATAATTATTAGTATATAATTTAAAATCTTATATAAATTTATTAATTATAAAAATATTCATTAAAAAAATATAAATAGTATATAAATATAATAGTTAAAAATATAAAATTTAATTTTTATAATATTATAATTATTTATAATAAAATAATAATTTTATTCTTTTAATTATATTAGATAAATTTGCTTACAATTTTATTTAATAATATAATTATTTTTATCATTTAAATATTTTAAAATAATTTATTAAAATTAATTCTTTAAAATAAATTTATAATATATTTTAAAAAAATAATGTAATTATTAAAGATAAATATATAAAAAAATTAATATAAAATAAATTAAATTTTAAATTCATATATCTTGTTATTTCTTAATATTAAAAATATAAAAAGACTATTATTTAAGTCTTATTCTAAATTTATTCTAATTATTAAATTAAAAATATTTTAAAAATTTAAAAATTAAAAATTAATATATATTGATAATTATAAAGTTTAAAAATTTTAAAATATTATTATTAAATATATTTTATATAATAAATATTATTCTTTATCAATACTAATTATTAAAATATTATAATATTTTATAATATTTTATAAATAATCTTTTTTTTTTGTAATTAGTAATTATCTTATATATTATATTTACTATTTAAAAAATAATATTTAATTTTTATTTATAAATATTATTATAATTTTAGAATTTTTACTATAAATAAATATTAAATATAAAAATAATTTAATTTTTACATAAGTGTGATACATCACCTTTATTTTGTCACTTATATCACACAAACTTTTTTTTTATTTTATATATATTCTAAAAACTTAAAATTTTTTTTGTTGAAAAATATCTACTTTTTATACTTTACATTAAAATATTATATAGGCTGATTGCTAGAAAAATCAGATTCTGGAAATTTTTTAGCGAATTGAAATTTTTATTGTATTTTACTTTTTGATGTTATTAGAATAAAATGTATTAAGCTTTTAATTTTAGTCAAAAATTTCTCAGAACCTGATTTTCCTAGAAACACTTCCATATATTTAAATTTTACTTAATATTATATAATTTTATTTAGAAAGTGATATATTATATGAGAATAAAAAAATTTACTTTGAAATATAACATATTATATAAATTCATAATATAATTTATCAGTAAATTTTTATATAAATTATATTATCTATTAATTATAATACAGTCAACTTTTTCTACAACG